TTGCAACAAAGAAATAGCCAGATAAAAACACGAGCCCTTGATAAAATATGGATTGCCAACCATGAGCTGAATAAAGACATGAAGAAAAAGTTATATATTAAAGGAAAATAAAGTTAATATCAATAATTTATATAATTAATAGAATAAATAAAGTTAACGAGATTAATGAAAGTTATATAGAAATTTGCTTATCAAAACATTCAAAAATTAATAAATAACAACAATCTAGAGATATTGCGCATGACTCACTTGCCGGATCGATACGATATTTTTAAGACAATTATGCTTAGAAAATTCTACCTAAAAATTAAAATAGAGCAACATAAATTTAATGAGTTTAACTAAGTGACAATAGGCTCAATAATTACTGTTGATTAAATAAAATACAAAAATATATAATCAATTTATTAAAGTATATTTTGGGTTGCCTAATAGTTAATGTTAATAAAAATATAAATAAATATTTGACAGTTCAATTCAAAAATTTCTAACCTACGTATTTAGTATATAAACAGAATTAACGGCGGAAAGAATTATTTTATCTATTTCGGCTAAAATAAATATTAAATTGTATTAAATCAAACTATTTTGTGCTGCAAAAAAAATGTTATTAAGTGTGAAATATGTTTAGTTAAAAATAAGGATGGAATAATTACTTTTGTTAACATGTAAGTACGATTTATTTATTCTTGGTTTACTGAATTGAACTGATCGATATTTCAGACTAATAATAATATCAATTAGCGTTAAATTATTAAAGAAAAGAAATAAAATAGTTTAGTGAAATTTTGGCACGTTACAAGGTCTTCCCATGTTTGGCACTTTGGCAAACCAAAAGATGTTTCAAGCCACGTAGCATTTTTTTTGAGAAATTATTTTTTCTGAAAACTTACTTCTGTTCATTTTTTTTAAACGCGGCCCTTAATCTTGAAAATTTATGTTTTACTTCTTTTTTACAGTCATCCGAGAAACCATCGTAAGAAAGTAAAAAGTTTTCTAAAAAACACAGTTTTTCTGTTATATTTGGCAATTCTTATTTGTTCATTATATATCAAATAATTGCTTTTTGGTGAATATCTTCACATCAGATGGTCCTAAAATTAAATAATGAAATAAAAATTAACAAGTTTTATAATTGTGTGAAATTACATGATTTTTTTAAAAAGAAAAATCTTGGAAAATCGGATATTATCGGGTCTAAACTTTTTAAATTCTTGTACTAGACACTATCATCTAGACAATTAAAAAAAAATAGGTGGGAAATACACGGAACTATAACAAAAACCTAGCTTTACTTAAAATTTAAAACGTCAAATCTTTTAAATTTACTTTAAGGAACAGTTACATCGAATATATTGAACAACATATTAATAATTTGTAGTATTTACCTGCTTCATCAATATCCATATTAACGTTTTCAAGAAAAGTAGCTACTACAAAAGGTATCGATTTTCAAACTTTGTCTGAATAATTAAAATAAATATGCTTGTTTTGTATTGTGGCTTAGAAACAAAAACAAAAATTCCTTAAGGTGGAAAAAAACCATAATATATAGTGTATTCATATGTTATCTTAACAATAATATTGCACATTTGTCAAATCAAATTTTGGTCACCTAATTTTTTCAGATACCTTTCTGTGCGTTGCCGGGCGTATGAGTCATAGCCGAGTGGTCAAGCTTAGACCAAGTTCACACGGGTCCGCAACATTGCCTCCTTAGATACATGTTCGTCCCGAGATGTACACGGTGAATGAAGGTATTTGCAAAGCTGGCCCCTGGTACATTGAGAAGTCTGGTAGAAATAGCAGTCTACAGTTTTCACGCTCGATCTCAGCTTTGGGTTGTAGCAGCAAACGAGGATCTCGATTCCCGTAAATCTAAACAAGAATTCTGTCAGGTTCCGGATTGTGCGCCAACTCAAACCATCGAGTCCACACGTCAGCTTCGGAATGGCTAATCGTGTAATGTTGTTGTTGAGCAGGGCTTCTCTCAGTTCAATCAGGGTCTTCCATAGATTGAGGTAAGTCGGCTTACTCGGGGACCATTCCTTTGTAACTAGGTAGAAGATATGTCTTGCTTGTCCATGCGCATTGTCGATTAGCCTCAAGATGCTTCCAACCTCTGGATCCTGTTGGCGTAGTTCTCCGACACGTCCAAACTCCTCATTGAACGTCGCAGCGATTTCTCTGGACATCCGCAAATCTCAGACCACATAGTGAGCGAGCGAATAATCAGGAGGCACGGAAAAGAGGCCTCTTTTTTTTTTTTTTTTTTTGGTCACACCATAGCGAGCCTTCTCACTGTTGTTGTATCGGGCCATGAAGTCGTCACAGGACATCTCCGAATCAGGGCGATCAAAGCTGCAGGTTCTCAGGGTCTCAGCACGACCTTCTATTTCGCCTTGATAGGGGCTCAAATTGTTGAAATGGACTACCCTCGGTTTTCCTGTTGGCAATTTTCTGATACGGTATACGACGTCATTAATCCACGAGCCTTCCCACGAGGATTGTAGCTTCGGAGATAATCCACGACGTCTCTGCGGGTTATACAGCCACTCCAAATTTCCTGGTTGATATCCTCCATGCTCAGCTTGAATGTCGTAGTGCTCCTTCATCCGGTCACTAGCGCTTTGAATATTTGTTTAAATGCTGGCTGGAGTTTGCCCTGTGGATTCTTGGACAGTTGAGCGGTAGGCCAATAGGAACAGGTGAAGAAATTTGTCCCAGTCTCTTTGGTGGTCAGAGACTACTTTGGCCAAATAACGGTTGATGGTTCTGTGCATGCGTTCAACCATCCCGTCGGATTGTGAATGTAGGGCCGTCGTTCTGGTCTTGCGGATGTTAAGGACTTCACAGACGCCTTGGAACATATTGGACTCGAAGTCTCTTCCCTGATCTGAATGAAGCTACATGGGAACACCAAACCTGCAGATCCATTCTATAAAAAGGACATCAGCAATGGTGGACGCTTCTTGATTTGGCAACGCGTAGACCTCAACCCATTTGCTGAAGTAATCCATTACTACCACAATGTATTTGTTGCCACCGTTCGTCTCCGGGAAAGCACCAGCCACGTCGATCGTTATTCATTCGAAGGGACTGCTTACATGCCAATGTACTGACGCATTGGGGCTTTACCGCGCTTTTGTGGCCCATTGATGGCGGCGCAAACGTCACATTTCTTGCACCAGGCCCTCACATCTTCTTTGCAGTTCACCTAATAGAACCCTTCTCGCAGCTTGCCAAGTGTTTTGGTAACACTAAGATGTCCAACGCTGGTTCCATTGTGAACTTTTACCTCTTCTTTGGAATAACTATCTGCCTTCTCTCTTCTTGTCACTCTGGTCTCTCAATCACACGGCGAAGTAACCCGTCATCTCTTAACAAGGAATTCCACTGGGCCCAGTATGACTCAAGTTCGGCGAATATCTGCAAACTTCCTCCCACGTTGGTCTTTGGTCCGCGTTTTTTCAGTTAATTACTAAGCCTAAATCTGGGTCACTGATTTGGTCATTTGCAAGATCTTCGGGTTGCCAAGTATCATTAACCACAGTTGTTCTTAGGAGTTTTGCCTCTTTCTCTTCTGCTCGGGAACAATGCTTACAGTTTTTAGCGCAAGGTCTTCTGGAAAGCTCCTCAGCATTTTGATTGATTGCCTCAGCTCGATGTTCTGTGTCAAAGTCGAATTCTTGTAATCGTTCGATCCATCAAGCTACCTGCCCTTCAGGATTCTTAAACTGCAGCAGCGATTTCAAAGCAGCATGGTCTGTTCTTAACAAGAACTTTCTTCCGTAAAGATACTTGTAGAAGTGTTCTACTCCTTTAACAACTGCTAGTAATTCTCGTCTGGTCACACAGTAGTTCCTTTCTGGTTTTGATAAGGTCTTACTGAAATATCCAATTACTTTTTTTGGCCATCCTGAATCTGAGACAAAACAGCGCCTAATCCAATATTACTAGCGTCGGTATCCAAGATAAAGTTTCCTTTGCCAAGAGGGTAGCTAAGTATGGGCGCAGTAGTCAGGGCCTTCTTTAATCTTCGGAATGCCTCGTCAGAATCTGAGTCCCAAGAGAAACGCCTCTCGCCTTCGGTAAGTCTGGTCAATAATTAATAAGCTTTTCAACGTAGACGCTAGGGGCGTTGTCTTACAATTTAACACACATCGCGCGTTTTTTCAAAATAAAATAAATGCAATAGTATATGTAATTTTAGCTGGTAGTAAAGAGTAGTAAAAGCTTAAAAAGTCAGCGAAAACCGCATTTTAATATCTTTTTTCAAACCGAAGATATTAGCAAAATTATAATAAATACCAAAAAATAAGCCCTTAATTGCCTTATTTTTATAACACGGTATCAGTAGCCCTTTTAATTATGCCCATTCTAACAAAAAAATGAGATAGAAACACTTAGTCTATTTTAAAATGGCGACGAAATACTAGAATACCATAATACCAGAGGTATTAATATCTAATAATTAAGATATTAATAACAGTGAACAAGAAGCGATGATTCAGTGAAGTCATGGTTGGTTTTGGAAAAAAGTTGCTTTTGACGTAATAGTATAAACGTCAAGTTGTTATTAGATCAACATTTTGATAGTCTTATCAGCGTTTTTTATCTTTTAATTGTTTTTTCAAAATGCCTTTATTATTTAAAATAGTTGATGAAATAGATGATAGTTGAAGTTGTTGGCATTTTGAAAAAGCAATCAAAAGATAAAAAACGCTGATAAGACTATCCTTCCCAGGACTTTCACCTTGTCGTGGTCAGTAACCTTCAATATCCAGGGAGCAATGCCGGCGGTAGCGTAGCTACTGGTAGGGCCACCCATGTCGGTAAGGTCTCGAAGTGATGAAGGTGAAGCTAAGGAGGTCCATAGCGTCTGACTCAAAGTGAGCGGCTGCAAACAGCGTCTGTATCCATAGTGGGCGGCTGAGATAATACTCGCCAACACGCTCGGCAAGCGGGGCGTTTTAACTGCCATTTACCTTCTTAGAACCATGCTAGAGTCGAAATCTAAAACAAGATTACCCCAGATGGGTAGAGCTCAAGTCTCAGAATCCCATCCCGCTACAAATTCGGGCAGCCTCACGGATTCTGGGGGAGGCAAGAAATCGACAAACTACAACAAACAAAAACGAAAACGAACACAGATTATATCCATTGCCACTTATAATATTAGAACGATGAGAACAAATGACCACTTGGAAGAATTTGAACAAGAACTGGGAAATATTAATTGGGACATAGTAGGCCTATGCGAAACAAGGTTGCAAGGAGAAAAAATGACAACTCTAAATTCTGGACACGATCTGTTTCAAAACAACTCAGAAACAAATCATAGCCAAGGAGGAGTAGCTTTTATTGTAAATAACAAATTCAAACACCTCGTCACTAAATATCATTCAGTATCAAATAGAGTGATATATCTAATAATACGCTTAAACCAAAGATACAGTATCCAGCTGATACACTGCTATGCACCTACAAGCTCAGCGAGCAGTGAATTGATCGAGGAATTATATGAAGACATTAGCCGACATTTAATCATAACTGGGGACTTTAACGCCAAGATAGGGAAGAAGCAACCGGGTGATACAAACTACATAGGAAACTTTGGTCTCGGGGAACGGAACGATAGAGGAGACATGCTTGTAAACTTTGTCAACAACGAAAAATTATACTGTATGAATACTTTTTATCAAAAACAAACTCAGAAAAAATGGACATGGCGGAGTCCAGACGGACGAGTAAAAAATCAAATAGACTTTATCCTCACCAACAAGAATACAATCTGTAAAGACGTCGATGTTTTAAACAGTTTTCATACAGGAAGTGACCACAGACTAGTACGCGCCAAAATACAAATTTATACTAATATAGAAAGGAGAAAATTAATTACCAGATCAATGTTTCCTACAAGGGACGCTCTACAACTAAATCAGAAAACCTATCAAAAAGAGCTTGAAAAGAGACTAAAGCCACAGACACTCAGAGATCAAGACCCCAACGACATTCTCAATAATCTAAGGCAGGGCATAACTACAGCAACAAAGAAAATATGTAGTAAAATGAAACACCCTTCGGAAACTAAATTAAAACCAGAAACGACAAAACTAATAAGGGAAAGAAGAAAGACTGACAGAGATGCCCCAGAATATGACACCTTAAATAAAACAACTAAAAGAGAAATAAGAAAAGTTCTTAGGGATTATAAGAGAAACCAAATTTTGGAAACAATTGAAAACAATAGAAGCATGAAAGTGTTAAGACGCAAGCAAATGCGCGGAAAACAAAAAATAATAAAAGTAAGAAACACACATGGCACTATAACAACAGACAAACATGAAATTAGAAATGAAATTCACAAATTCTACGAACAACTTTATCAGTCTGTTATACCAAACAAAGATAGAGTACAAAAACACATCACAAACGTAGGATCAGAAGATATGCCGGAAATATCAACCACAGAAATTAAATACGCACTTCAACAAATAAAAAATGGCAAAAGCCCAGGAGAAGATCGTATTACACCTGAAATGCTGCAGATGGGCGGAAAACCATTAGTGGATGCCGTGGAAGTATTGTTAAATAAATGTCTGATGGAGGGTAGAATCCAGGACGCATGGAAAAACGCAGAAGTTGTGCTATTATACAAAAAAGGAGATTTTACAAATATAGAGAATTATACTATTACTATTATTATTATGTTTATACTATTACGTCAAAAGCAAATTTTTTCCAAAGCCTACCATGACTTCACTGAATCATCGTTTCTTGTTCACTGTTATTAATATCTTAATTATTAGATATTATTACCTCTGGTATTATGGTATTTTGGCATTTCGTCGATGTTAAAATAAACTAACTGTTTCTATCTTATTTTTTGTTAGAATGGGCATAATTAAGAGGGTTACTGATACCGTGTTGTAAAAATAAGATAAATAAGGGCTTATTTTTTGGTATTTATTATAATTTTGCTAATATTTTCGGTTTGAAAGAAGATATCAAGATGGGTATTTCGCTTTTACTAATCAGCTAAAATTACATATACTATTGCATTTATTTTTTTTTTTGAAAAAACGCGCGATGTTTGTTATATTGTAAGACAACGCCCCCTAGCGTCTACGTTCAAAAGCTTATTATTATTGTTTATATGGCGCAATATAGAGTAAAAAAAGCTCTTTTAAATGAGCCCTCGATTGTTGGAGTTTGATTATCCAGTCCAGAGTTATTAATATCTAAATAAAAACAGATCTAACCTTCCCCCACCACTTTATTTTAATAGATAGGGGAAAATGGCTTTAACAAAAAACATTCAAATTTTACTGAAGAGTATGAAGCTATTACTTATAGTACACCTTATCTAGGCAAAATTGTGTAAAATCTACATTTTCTTATTTTTTGTTGCAGTTGCGCCCCCTAGCGGTCGTTCCACAAACTTGAAGATAATTTCTAGCAATTTCCCATGGCCTCTTTAGTTATAAATATTTTTTTCCGCAGCCCCTACGGCTAATACTTTCCGAGATACAGCCGAAATCTATTCTTATTAGGACACCCTGTACAGGGTGGGTCAAATTCGTCGCTTTTAAATGGAAACTCCCTTTTCAATAGGAGATAGACAAAAACTAATATCGGTGTCTGGAGCTCAATTTTCATCAAAAACATGATGGTGAAAACGGCATATCGATATCTGTTATCGTTTCGGAGTTACGGGGTGATTTTCAAAAATGTGCATTTTTAACAAATCGCTGTAACTTTTTTGCTATGGAAAATTTTGTATTTTTATGAAAACATTTCCAGCGCACCTTTTTACGTAGAATTTAATGGTTTAAGTATAATTTTTTTAGAATTAATAATTTAAGAATTATCAATAGAAAATTCTATTTTTTATATGGGACACCCTGTATATTCTTAATTTATTGAAAAGAATTTAAAATTACCTTTCCAAAAATATAATACACTTGATATTTTGCTCGATTCCTCTTCGAGATATAGAGTATATAAAAATTCGCCCGCTCTAAATAAGTAGGCTTTGAACGGCACCGGCTGTAATGCAAAAAAATTCTAGCTGTGAGCATCAATTAAAACGAAAGTAATATTTGCTATGAAAGATGCAGAATTTTATAACAATTTAAAGTATATTTAACTAACATTAACACATTTAAACTATATCTAATAACAATAAAAATAAATAGCAAACCAAGACATGAGGTTTTGCTACAGGTGTTCGACATATCGACCGTCTTCTGTTATGGACAGACGGGGCAGTTTTTGAACATTTTTCGCGGAATTCATTAACTCAGTGGGGGTGAAAGATACCCTCTCATAACTGCTAAGTATTTCTAATTCTTGTCTAGATTATACGGAAGAATAAGTAACCTTTATTCTTCCGCAAATATATCCATAGGATTAGGTCCATGGGCACTAAGACAGGCGCCCGCGACGGCCAACGGCTGGAATCTTGGTTAGTTATTCAATTATTCTTAAAATTGGCTGCAAAAATTTTGCTGATAACTTCAGCGTTCAGAGGTGGTGCGTCGTCTTGCTGGAAAAATATGCTTTCGAGTTAAAGGTTAAGGGCATATCATAAATAAGGGGTCCAAAGCTTACTAGTTAAAAGCAACGAACTTTTAAAAATTCTGTATTTCGAAGGGGATTATAGCAAAATATCAAGTGTGCTATATTTTTGGATTTTTTTTTAGTTATAATAGTAATTAAAAACATAGAGGGTGTCCCAAATAAAAAATCAAATTTTCTGTTGATTACTCTTAAATTACTAATTTTAAAAAAATTATACTTAAACCATTAAATTCTACGTAAAAAGGTGCTTTGGAAATGTTTTCATAAAAATACAAAATTTTCCATAGCAAAAAAGTTACAGCGATTTGTTAAAAATGCACATTTTTGAAAAACACCCCGTAACTCCGAAACGGTAACAGATATTGATGTGCGGTTTTCACCATCATGTTTTTGATGAAAATTGAGCTCCAGACACCGATATTAGTTTTCGTCTATCTCCTATAGAAAAGGGTGTTTCCATTTAAAAGCGTCGAATTTGACCCACCCTGTACACGTTGAACGTCTGTTTGTTCTCTGTCTCTTCAGCCCAAGCGTCGGTTTATATATGAGAGAAACAGACAATCTAGATTTAACTCGAAAATTCTTAGCCACATTCTTCGTCTCACCAGCTTCTATTCGTTCTCGAAAGTCGCCGGGCTATGAGCCATAGTCGAGTGGCCAGGCTTATGCCAAGTTCACACGGGTCCGCAACAGTAGGTCATATGAAGAAGTGAAGTTGCCACTGTTGCCATTTATCAAATATCTCTATATACTCTATTTGAAGTATGTCAAATTTAGAAATAGGGATTAAACAAAACAAAAAAAATATGTTTAAAACTTTATAATTAATTCCACTTCAAATTATGAGCAGTGTATACCATGTTTCTACGACCACTTTATAAGTTGAGCAGTTAAATAACTAGTCTATCTGTCAAACACGTCAAAAGAAAGAGAAAGAAAATTTGGTCCCACCCTTTGAATAAGAATACTAAGGAAGGAGCATATCAAAAATATTAGGTATACCGCGATGGACCTCAAATATGGCCGACTTAAATTCCGGTTTATCAGTGCCGTTCTAATTTTATTTAAAAAATGTAAAACTATGATGTAGGGTAGACGTGGGGTAGACTCAATAATTTGTAATTTTATTTTACGTTGTGAATAAATGTTGGTAGTTATTAAAATTGTTATAAAAATATATAATTCTAATAAAAATAGATAAGTTATAATAAGTATTTATTAACACAAACATCCGATACGGTACTGAAGCAGGTAAGTCAAATTAACGTATCAAAATTCTTTGACATCTGATCTTTGACAAGTAGTAAATAAAAGCTAAAATGCAAGAAAATATATAATTTAGTTAATTTAAGTGAATTTCATAAATGATCGGTTTACTACACGTATGTACATTATATAGTCACTTACTAGCGAAAAGTTGTTCCATTATTTCACTCAATTTTTGCCGAGATCTACCGCACGCTACACAACCAACTATTTTAGAGTCTTTTTCGATAAATCGCGATAGTGTCACTGTTAATTTAGGTTCTGCCACAATTTCCATCTAGATTTACTACCTTTATACAACTATCTGTAGTAGAATAAATAATAAATAACATAAAATAAGCTCCGTAAAGACTGATAAATCCACAAAATTTCAAATCAAATTCAAATGTGTCAAATGAATCGTCAAACAGAACTGTCAAGGATCCACACCCTAGAGTGCTTTTATGGTGCTTTTTCCGCCCACCATGCATGATTACATGAATAGCATTATGCTTCTTCCTTAGTCTTCTTATTCAAAGGTCCCACCACATCAAAAGAGCCGACGGTTTCTCCCGCTACTCGTCGATCCACTTACTCTGGGCCTACTCCATCATTAGATGAGCTTGGGCAGACACCACAAAATGACAACCACGGCGCAGAGTAATTAATTCCGACTTGTCGGAAAGTATCGGTTAGATATTAAGTCCGGAACGGGCGCCATTTTACCATCTTTTTTACTATCGATAGTTGCGGCTCGGTGGTACGAAAGTACTACCATTGCAGCCAACCTATCTCCCGTTCGGAACTTAATTATCTAACCGATACTTTTCCGACAAGTCGGAATTAACGGGAGAACCACGATTGGGCTATCAGAGTCAAAATTCCTCAAGGCTGTTCGGGTGGAGTCGTCCGAGTAGTTAAACTTACACGGGACTGCGACAGTCGGATGGCCAAGAAGGTTACCAAAGATTTTCACCTGGTTTTTTTTGCGTGCGTATCTGTGTGTTCTTCTAGAATTTCAAGAGGCTGTTGAAGAGGGCCTTAATAAGTGTCGTTTAGGTAGGTAGCAGGTAAAGATAAATTGTGTGGCGTCAGAGCACTTGGTAAACAACCATGAGAGGTTAAAAGTTATTTCCAAATATTGTGATAAGTTATTATTGTGTACGAGAGGTTACGGGGGTCGGGTTTTATCAGTAAATATTGCGATAAGGATGTTTTTCGCTGTTACTCATAGTGCGAGCCAAGCCTAGCCTTGTGAAATATATTTTATAAGAAAAGATAAATTAAATTATAAACACATTTATTTTAATATTAATATTTTCCATAAATATTACAATATCTAATTTAATGAATATAGTTTTTGCAATAGTTTAATGTTGTAAATTACTGTATTTCTATGAATCTAAATATGAATTTTACTCAACAGTGTACTTATTTGAATAAGAACAATTAAAATAATAATTAACAACAGGATTTTTCTAAACAGGTTTATTTTATATTAATTATTCCATTTTTAAATTTTCCAGTGTAATGTAAGTTATTTAAACTGCTTTAGTGTTTTATTACGTCCACCTATAATGAGTATTTAGTTTTACAATAATTTAAATATGTAAATGTAAATTACAATATTTCTATGACTCTAAAATATAATTTTTAGTGAACAGTGTACTTAATTAAATAGCAATTTAAAACAGGTTTACTTTAAACACATATATTTTTACAATAATCTTTTAGATGTTTATAGAAAACCCACAACTCACCCGAACGCGTCCCGAACATAGACTTAAAATAAAATATAGACTACATTATTTACATCTCAACGCGGTGAAACAATCTTTTTTGTACACATATTTACTTCTGGGTACAGTCGACCGAGCCTTCCTCATCCAGCCTATGTTGTCACGTTTTAAATATTATCAATATTATTTTTTTCTTGTTATACACATATATTGAGATATTAATACTACATTTTAATAAAGTAGGTCTTAATATTCCATAGATGTATTAAATAGTCCTTATTCTACTAAATTATAAGTCGGATACTGTTTAAAATGGGTAAATTCTTTACAATATGACAACACCGATTAGAGGCGAGGTAGCCTATTCATTCATTTATTACCTTGTAGTACGCGTCGCACGTGTGCGGTAAAACTTTGTTGCCGCTATGTCCCCGGCCGTATTAACGCATTTTCTTCGCTTGTAGTCCTTAAATGTTTATTTCATTGACTTTTTCTGTTCAAGAACTATAAAATATGGTTCGCCAGTGCCAAATTGGCAAGAAATTTGACTTAGATAATCCATTTAAGCTTTGAAATCACTTTCGACCGGTAGGCAACTCTCAATTTGCCCATTGGGAGTCAGAGGCGTTGTTGTAGAAAGGCGCTTATTTAGATAATATTTTAGAAAAATGTAAAATCTGATTTTTTTCTCTTGCATTACATTATTTACTTACTCACATTGTAACAAAATCATAATTATAACCTTGCTAATAATTAATAATGTTTTTATTAAAAATATATTCCGGTTTATTCTAAAATTATCTTCAGAATCTAAAATAACATACAAGAATTTTAAAATGATATTACATTATGAAACAATATTTTTTAATATACCGGGTCGTCTCAAAAGTGATTCACCCCTATAACTTTTTTATTTTTTTTCAGATAAAAAACAGATTTGTATGTTAGTAAGTATATGACATAAATTAGGATTGAATGACGTATTCAATTGTTTTTGGTCTCTTCCTGTTTCACCGAAATGATTACATCTTTTGATTTTTAAAGGCACCCTCGGTATATTGTTACTTTATTCGATAAAAAATGACACTCTGAATAGAAAATGACATATCATATGTCAACTTTTGACATTGTCGCTTAAAAACAAATCGTATTTTAAATTTCAATCCAGGGTGCCATGGTGTTGTTAAAAACACTAAGTTTTGATCAAGTAGCCTTGGAAAAATAGTTTTGATCGTATAATGGGTTTCGTGTCTTGTCTAGGCCGGTTAAAAGATGTACAAACCGTATTTTTAATTATACATATGTCAATTTTTTCAAATGGAACGAGGTTGGCTCATTAGCATATTTGGAAAAAGCATTTTTTATGAATATATTGATACCACACACTTGGTATTTCGAGTCAAATTGTCATTATGAACTGCGTGTTACAATTACAATTAAACCATATGCGAAAATGTCAAATGTTGACATATGATACGTCATTCTATTCAGAGTGTCATTTTCTATCGAATAAAGTAGAAATATGTCGAGGGTGCCATTTAAAAATTAAGAGTTATAGTCATTTCCGGTGAAACAGGAAGTGACCAAAAACAATTGAATGCGTCAATCAATTCTAATTTATGTCATATACTACATACAAAATCTTGTTTTTTATTTGAAAAAATAAAAAATAATGGGCTTGAGCCACTTTTGGAACGCACCCGGTATAATAAAGACAGTACCGAGTTAAATAAATGTAGTTTTCGTTTTATCCACTTCCTATCACCTTCCTTGCTTTAATGGAACAGATTTATGTTTTCTCTAATTTACATAATAAGACATCACTTACAAATTAATAATTTATTATTAATTTCAAAAATTACGTAATTTCGATTATAACATTTCTTCTGTAACATGTATTTTATTATTTTTTTTTCCTTTTTGGACACTAAGACGTTTTTTCGAAACTTTATTTAAAAAAACATGTCCTAAATCTTACTAAAATATAAAAAAGTTTAAATACGATATATTTTAAATTTAATTATAGCTTCATTAAAATAAAAAAAAATACCCGGCTATGATACGAAGAGTTCAGGTGTACTTGAGAAACGAAAGACAGTGTTGTCTGACCGCAAGTTCCAGCTATTTATGCATGAGATGCTCAGTCTATATTTTATTTTAAGTCTATGTCTAAAACCGTTTGAGTTATAGAGCTAAAAATTTAGGTGATTTATTTTGATTCGACACCAAATCGATCCCTTGAGTGAGAGTCAAAAAATCCGCGGGGACAGATTTCCCATATTAATCCGGCTATGCTTGGAATAAGTTGTTCAATAACTTCTTATCGTTGGACTTTTAATCATCTTATAATACAACAAGAAAAATATACCTATATAGAATTGCCGAGAGTTTAACGTTTTTTCTCAAGTTTAAGTTCGTTTGTATACCGATCCTGAAAGGTATACAATTTGTTCCTGAAGGGTCTGTATAAAGTTATCATGCTTTACATGTTTTAAGCATTTTTATAGTCAACGCCAAGCATAAAAGCAATAATTCGAATGTGATTGTAAAGATAACAAGACTGTTTTTTTCTATTGAGTTATCGGATATTCCTGGTGAAGCTACACGAGAGAACGCCTGAAATATCACAGCATAATCGATCCCGAACTTTATTTCTGACTCTATGCACATCGAAAACGGTTTATGTTGTAAATAGTGTCGAAATTTTCCATTTCGCCAGTCACACGACAGTCGCTGTTGTGTCATCGTGTGTTGAATTAAATTTGGCACGGGAAATTGAATAAATAACACAAATCAATGTTGCATCTCGCTCGTATACGTATTTCTATTCAGGGTGTCCCAGGCTGAGGTTTCCCCATTTCCCCACAGAATCTGCATTTGCCATTGTTTCTCAGCTTCAGTTTACTGAGGTGTTCATCGAGGAGACAGTGTCCCGTTAGAAACCCCATGACAATCCAAAGATTGTTTTTACTTAAATCAAGGAAAATCTTTGATTTCTCTCGGTTGTAGGTTGTGAGAAAATTTTTTTGAGACCGTTAGAGGATGGAATAAGGATTAAATTATACAATAAATATATTATTACGGATGGAATCTTCCAGATTCTTCAGTTCCGCTTTCATTTGGCTTCCGCTTGGAAAACAGAACGGTTCTGGTCCAGTTAGTGGAATGTTCGCTCCTTTTCTAGCTAGATAATTTGCTTTTTCATTGCCTTCTATCCCTTGGTGAACAGGCACCCAGAGTAGAAGGAGTTGAGCTTCTCTATTCTTTGACCAACTTCGATTTGATGGTTACTGAGTTGATCGCGTTTAGTGCTGCTTGACAATCGGAAGAGATGACTATTTCCTGTTTTCGATAGCTCCTATCTAAGATAAATTTTAGTAGATGTCATGGAGTTGAAAGATTGAGAGAGTGTAAAAATTATAATAAATCATTTTTTTTCAAATGGAAACCCACTTTTTTTATTTCAACAGTGAAAATATTTTTCAATTCATTACATTTTGAATATACATCACATCAAAGTTATTTAACATTTACTTTTAAAGTAAATGTTAAATAACAGTGCCGAGCATATATATTATCTATTGTGTCCTCCTTTCTTGAGTTATAACGAGTTATAACTCCCACTTTTAGGGCTTTGACTGGGAATATGTCACTAGTATCAAAAATGCAGAGCTTATAAGCGAAATATACACCTGTATATTTATTTTAGAAGTTTACCTAACTGGCCAATTTATGAGATTATTATTGAATAAAAATTTGAAAATATGGCAATATTATTTGGCGTTTGTTTTGTATTCAACCACACAGGATTGAAAATTCTTAATAAACCAATGATAAGATAATATAACGTATAAAAACTACTATCTGTATTATAATGAAATGAAAAAACACGAGCCTTATTAGTGATATTGTTACGTTTTTCGTCGGGTCCGTCTGGATAGAAAGTCACAATTTATTTAAACACTATTTATTTAACACTAATTAACAAAAACAATAACGATAAAAGCCTTATAGAACTATTTACAAACGATTTATAACTAAGAATTTATTTTGAATTTTAGCGCGTCAACTGCACTGATATATTTATAACTGCCCTCTCTAGGCCACTGCCGCCGGCTTTTATACCTACAGCAAAAGAAATCTAGAATAGTCCATAGATCGTTAGGCGCATAGAGAAGGTTTTCGAATGTTCTCGTATGTATTAGTCCATTCTAGTGGGTCTCGATTCTTCTCGAACCAATGAATCATTGCGGTGTCTATGCGATGTTAAGGTCATCCGAGAGCGGGCCATATTGTGAGGTTAGGTCGAGTCCACACCGGCTCGCAACACTGCCCCCTTCATAGGCACATGCTCGTCCCGAGATGTATACGGTGAATGAAGGTATTTGCAAAGCTGGCCCCTGGTACATTGCGAAGTCTGGTAGAAATAGCAGTCTACAGTTTGCAACGTAACTTATTTTTTTTTTTTAGCTGCGTTACTGACGATTAAGTTTCTTGTATTGTTGCTTAGAAGATCTCGGGCGCCACCTCTAGTTAATAAGTGGTTAGAGGCCCACCAGTGCCGGTTCGGGTAGCTTTTAAACAGTGGAGAAGTATGGCAGTGTTACAGTTCTTTTTAGCTCAGAGGTGGGGAAAATAAATTAAACTCTAATCAACAGTGGTAAATTAAAGGGCAGGTCGTGTTTTCCAAAACTATTTACAAGTCAAAGCTTTATTTTAAATGCAAAAAAAAATGTCTGTCTTCTTCGGAAAGTCAGATAGCACGGCGATGTGTAGGTGGCTGGTTGCGACCCCAGCGCTTAAATTGGCTCCAATACGTAGAGTCTCGTCACCGGGTTGGAGTAAATCTACACAGAAAAGAATATTAATAAAAACTACTGACTGTTAGGGGAAGGACGACACTCCCAAGTTAATAATAAAAAAAATAATTTATTCTTAAATAAAAAAAAATAATTAATGTTAGAACTTGTCAATAAATTCAAAAAGAGAAAAGAAAACAAAATTTACTTGAGAGTGTTAGTGAAAAGAATTTAAAATATTCTATTAAAGGTTTTAATCAAAATATTAAAATAAATACGGGTGTGTCAATAAGAAAATGTTGTAACAATTATTTAATTAAATTAAAAGTGTTTCGGAGTTAAGAAGAAATTGTTCTAATAATTATTTATTTAAATTGAAGGTATGTCGGGGAGAATAAGAAAATACTAAAAAAAATTATTTATTTAAAATTAAAAAGTACGGCGGGGCTAAGGTCTAAATATGACAACGAAAAGAAATAAAAAAAAAATTAAATTACGAATGAAAGGAAATGCGGAAAACTATAAGAGTTCAGCAAGTGTATCTATAGTGAAGGGATCGGTGTGTAAGAAAACTGCCGGGATGTATCGCACTCACAACTTTCTCACGTTCCTAATCTTCACTGGAGATATACCGCTTAATTATTAAGAGAACTGACAGAACGATTTATTGCGGATTGTTTTCGGAAAAAAAATTAAACTAGAGACAGTTTATCTAAGCACTCAATGAAGAACCTGGAATTCGAAGCAACTTGCCGGGATTTATCACACTCACAACTTACTTATTTTACCAAGTCCTCATTAACGACCCAGATATGTTTTAAGTGATTTAAAAAAAAATCTAAGAGCTGACCTAATGATTTTTAATTAAATTATCAATAAGGAATTTAGAGTTCGAAGCAAACTGCCGGGATTTATCACACTCACAGTTTACTTGCTTTTCCAAGTCCCTATTGATAACTCAAGCGTATTTGATTTTACAGATTTGCTATTGATATTTAAAATATATTTTTTTTTTACTTTTGGAATTTATTCTAAACTATTTAGACCTTGCCACGGTACAGGATTCCTTTCTGCAAAAAAAAATTAAAAACCAAATAAACAATGAATTCTCGATACTCAATACTATACCATACTAATCCTGAAGGTTACCTTGCGGGCGGTTTCGGAGTGACGGTTAATTAAAACGACGGAGGACGGGCAGGCTTCCCAACTGCTAGGCGGCGGCGGTGTCTCGGGGCTGGCTTCTGCTTGGCGGACTGCGGCGACTGTTGCTGCTGGTGCTGGTGCTGGTGTTGTCGGTGGTGGTGGTGTAGGAACTGTTCGGTTGGTGGCTGGGGCAGGAACTCCTCTGGCTGGCGCGTCGCTTCTTATTTTCCCCAGTCCTTCCCTCCAGTTGAGAACCGTCGTGGTGGCGGCGTGCGCCGAGCGGTGTGCGCGTCTCAATACCCGATCTAGTACCAGCGGTTGTGCCAGCGGTACCAAGCGGGCTGCATCAAGCGCGTGGAATGCGTTCAATTATTAATTAGCGCCTTTTAAGCTAATTAATGAGTTCGGTTCGTACGTTAATCCAACAAATATAATTTTATTTAAAAAGTACTATCTTCTCGAAAAAGAATCAAATTTTTCTAATGTATGGAAGAGTAGAAAGATAAATTAAATAAAGAAAATTCGTAATCGGCGATAAAAATAGAAAAAGAAAATTAAATATATATAAAAAAATAGTAACTTCGTTACAAGTTTTCTCTCCCGATCTCAGCTTTGGGTTGTAGCAGCAAACGAGGATCTCGATTCCCGTAAATCTGAACAAGACTTCAATCATGTTCCGGATTGTACGCCAACTCAAACCATCGAGTCCACACGCCAGCTTCGGAATGGCTAATCGTGCAATGTTGTTGTTTAGCAGGGCTTCTCTCAGTTCAATCAGGGTCTTCCATAGATTGAGATAAGTCGGCTTACTCGGGGACCATTCCTTGGTGACCAGGTAGAAGATGTGCCTTGCTTGACCATGTGCATTGTCGGTTAGCCTCAAGACGCTTCCAACCTCTGGATCCTGTCGGCGTAGTTCTCCGACACGCCCAAACTTCTCATTGAACGTCGCAGCGATTCCTCTGGACATCCGCAAATCTCGAGCCACACAATGAGCGAGCGAATAATCAGGAGGCACGGAAAAGAGGTCTCGTTGATCTTCTTTGGTTACACCATAGCGAGCCTTCTCACTGCTGTTGTATCGGGCCATGAAATCGTCAAAGGACATCTCCGAATCAGGGGGATCAAAGCTGCAGGTTCTCACGGTCCCAGCACGATCTTCTATTTCGCCTTGGTAGGGGCTCAAACGGTTGAAATGGACTACCCTCGGTTTTCCTTTTGGCAATTTTCTGATACGGTATACGACGTCATTAATTCTATCCATGACTTCGTATGGCCCTTCCCACGAGGATTGTAGCTTCGGAGATAACCCACGACGTCTCTGCGGGTTATATAGCCACACCAACTTCCCTGGTTGGTATCCTCCATGCTCAGCTTGAATGTCGTAGTGTTCCTTCATTCGGTCACTAGCACTTTGAATATTTAGGCGGACTCTCTGATGAATGTCGTCCATCCTTTGACGTAGTGTGTGGACATAATCTTCTCCGGCGACTTCTTCTCCCGGTCGGCAACCAAATTTCAGATCACAAGGTAGGCGCACTTCCCGTCCCATAACGATGCTGGCTGGAGTTTGCCCTGTAGATTCTTGGATGGATGAACGGTAGGCCAACAGGAACAGGTGAAGAAATTTGTCCCAGTCTCTTTGGTGGTCAGAGACTACTTTGGCCAGATAACGGTTGATAGTTCTGTTCATGCGTTCAACCATCCCATCGGATTGTGGATGTAGAGCAGTCGTCCTGGTCTTTCGGATGTTCAGGATTTCACAGACGCCTTGGAACAGATTGGATTCAAAGTTTCTTCCCTGATCTGAATGAAGCTCCATGGGAACACCAAACCTGCAGATCCATTCTTTAACAAGGGCATCAGCAACGGTGGACGCTTCTTGATTTGGCAACGCGTAGGCCTCGACTCATTTGCTGAAGTAATCCATTAGTAGTTATTAGTCCATTATTAGTACCACAATGTATTTGTTGCCATCGTTCGTCTCCGGAAAAGGACAAGCCACGTCGATCGGTATTCGTTCGAAGGGACTGCCAACATTGTACTGGCGCATAGGGGCTTTACCACGCTTTTATGGCCCATTGAGGGCTGCGCAAGTGTCACATTTCTTATACCAGGCCCTCACATCTTCTTTGCAGTTCACCCAGTAGAACCGTTCACGCAGCTTGCCAAGTGTCTTGGTAACACCAAGATGTCCACCGCTGGTTCCATTGTGAACTTCCTCCAAGACTTCTGGGACCCTCTTCTTTGGAATGACGATTTGCCTTCTCTCTTCTTGTCCCTCCGGTCGCTCGATCACACGGCGAAGTAGTCCGTTATCTATTACCAAGGAATTCCACTGGGCCCAGTACGACTTTACGTTCGGCGAATATCTGCAAACTTCTTCCCACGTTGGTCTTTGGCCTGTGTTTTTCCAGTTAATTACTAAACCTAATTCTGGGTCACTGGTTTGGTCATTTGCAAGATCTTCGGGTTGCCAACTATCATTAACCACAGTTGTTCTTAGGAGTTTCACTTCTTTCTCTTCAGCTCGGGAACAATGCTTACAGTCCTTAGCGCAAGGTCTTCTGGAAAGTGCGTCGGCATTCCGATGGATTGCCCCAGCTCGATGTTCTGTGTCGAAGTCAAATTCTTGTAATCGTTCAATCCATCTAGCTACCTGCCCTTCAGGATTCTTAAATTGCAACAGCCATTTCAAAGCAGCATGGTCTGTTCTTAACAAGAACTTTCTTCCATAGAGATACTTGTAGAAGTGTTCCACTGCTTTAACTACTGCTAGTAATTCTCGTCTGGTTACACAGTAGTTCCTTTCCGGTTTTGACAAGGTCTTACTAAAATAACCAATGACTTTTTCTTGACCATCCTGGATCTGAGACAGAACAGCGCCTAACCCAACATTGCTAGCGTCGGTATCTAATATAAAGTTTCCGTTGCCAAGAGGATAGCTAAGTACAGGCGCACTAGTCAGGGCTTTCTTCTATCTTCGGAATGCCTCGTCAGAATCTGAGTCCCAAGAGAAACGCCTCTCGCCTTCGGTAAGTCTGGTCAATGGTTTTGCGATGGTGGTGAAACCCTGTACATAACGGCGATAATATGTGCATAGCCCCAAAAAGCTTCTGAGTTCATGTTTGTCTTTGGGTATCGGTCACTCTTCCACTGTCTTGGTCTTCTGTGGATCTACCGCAACTCCCTGGGAGGAGACCATATGGCCCAACTAGTGTACCTTTTCTTGACACAGATGACATTTCTTGGGGCTAAGTTTCAAACCAGAGCTCGCAAGTCGCTTGAAAACTTCTTCCAAATTCTTCAGATGATCGTCGAAGGATTTCCCCACCACTATAATGTCATCCAGGTACACTAAACAAGTGGTCCAGGATAGTCCGTTTAACACAGACTCCATTAGTCTTTCAAAGGTAGCTGGCGCGTTGCACAATCCAAAATGCATGACAGTAAATTGCCACAGTCCGGAGCCCACCGAGAACGCTGTCTTCTCCCTGTCTTTAGGCGCCATGTCGACTTGCCAATATCCACTCTTCAGATCCAAGGTAGTGAATATTGTCGATCCCGCCAACGTGTCTAGAGTATCGTCTATCCTCGGCAGGGGATAACTATCCTTCTTGGTAACATTATTGAGCTGCCGATAATCAACACAGAACCTGGTGGTACCGTCTTTCTTCTTTACTAGTACTACCGGCGATGTCCACGGGCTGTTAGATGGTTCGATACACCCTCTTCTTTCATTTCTCGAAGGATTTTATCAGCTTCTTCACGTTTGGCGAGCGGAAGTCTTCTCGGATTTTGTTTGATTGGTCGTGCATCTCCGGTATCAATTTTGTGTTGTACTAAATTGGTACGACCTCTCTGTCCTGCTTCTCCTTTATCAAACACATCTTGATACTTGATTATCAGGTTTCTCAATTTTCTTCTATTTTCGGGAGATAATCCTTTAACGTTTACTAACTCCTTCACCATTTTGTCCGGAATTTTTGAAGTCGAAACTTTGGAGGCTTCCACGCTTCGAACGACTGAGGAGACCGAACAACAGTACCCTAAGAGGGTTCCCTTCTTCAAGGATACAGAATAATAATTCGTGTTCATTACTCTCACCGGTACAGTTTTCTTCGCTCGCAGCAGGGCTTTTCCAACAACGATCCCTCGTCCTATTTCGCTGTCATGGTTCCTTGGCTCCAACAGAATAATACTCCCATTATTCATTTTACCTTCCAGGCAACCATCCAAAAATATCTCACAGCGCTCAGGAATCGAAACATCTTCTGCTACCAACCTTCAAACCAAACCAAGCGAAGCGTCTCCTCACATTTTCGATGTAGGACCACTTCTTCTTCATTTATTTTCAAAATTCCCTGTTTGAAGTTTAGTTCAAAACCTTTAGTGGTCATGATGTCCATTCCGAGAATAAGTTCATCATTGATATCTGCTACTAACACTGGATGTTCAAAACTGGTGCTCCCAATAACAAAATTAAGGTTTATTTCTCCATGGACAGCAGCGGAGCCCCCCGTAGCAGTACGTAGTCTCCATTGTGTTGTTTTAACCTTCTTCGATGTTTTAAGAATGTCCGGTCTGATGATAGTTTTCGTCGCACCTGTATCCAACAGCATGGTCCGGAACTCTCCATCAACAAAACCATCCACAAAAATGCTGTTGAATTTGTGTTGTAGCGAGGCGACTTGAGCAGTTTTCGTTGGGGCATGTTGGGTACAGGTCGACGTGTGCCCCTTCATTTCGACCCTTAGTAGTTTTCCGACCTCGACGAAGCCGGTTCTTCGTTCTTCTCCTTACAACGGCTTCGCACGTGTCCCACCTGTCCGCAGTTCCAGCAACGAATCGGTCCCTTCTTGCCCATGTACTGGTCCATTACCTTCCGAACAATCCCTTCCACGGATTCGTCGGAACATTCGTCGATGGCCCGTACTCTTCCTAAAGACCGAGAACTTTGTTTCGCGGCCTCAAATTCTAGGGCACGTGCTAAAGCATCCACCAAGTGCGTTGGGTGGGCTAGGAGAAGTGCTTGTCTTGTCTCGTTATCACGTAAGCCGTCGGAGAATGCCTGTACTGCCAACCGCTCCATAACATTCTCTGGCGTAGCAGGGTACGCAAGGCGAACGAGGCGGGCTACGTCGGCTTCAAACTCTGCAGAGACTCATTTGACTTTTGAATGCCATTTTTTAGCTGGGAATGATAGACATGTTCCAAATGAGCTTGGCCGTACCTCATTTCTAAATGTCGTACCAATTGCTGATAATCTCCCTGTTCCGATGGTGACAATGTCTGCAGGATATCAGTCGCATCTCCTCGCAGTGCGACAGTCAAAGCGGTAGCCTTTTCAGCGATTGTCCATCCGTTCGCTCTCGCAGCGGTCTCAAACTGGCAAAAATAATTGGCCCAAGCGGTTTTTCCGTCAAACTGTGGAGGCTTAATAACTGACTTTGAGATATACTTATTTTCGACTAGTTTCTGTGCCTCCGATGTTTCTTGACATTTTGGTGAATTTGCCTTTGCTATTTCTTGTTTTAAAATTTCGATTTTTTTATTTACATCGTCCTCAATTTGTGTTATTTTGTCTTGTAGCTCCGTAGAATTCTTTATAATCTTTTCTTCTAATTCCCTGGAATTTTCTGTTATCTTTTCTTCTAAATTAAGTATTTTATTATTAAAGCTGGCCTGTATGTCTTTAGAATTTTCTGCGATCTTATCTTCTAAAATATTAATTTTATCACTGATTTTCTCTCTAAATTAACTTCCAAGTCAATTATTTTACTATTCAAATTGTTCAAGTTGTCGTCTAATTTTTGAGAATTCTCTGTCATTTTATCATTCAAACTGTCTTCTAATTTTTGTAAGGACTAGTCAAGGTCACCTTCCAACTCAAAGCAAAATGTGTCAGAATCCTCACTTTCCTCCACCAAAACGTCTCAGTCTAGCTTGCAAAATGCTTTTCTTTCCATCTGTCTCGCACTCTCTCTCTTCCAGTATACATTTTAATTCCGACACTTTCAAGTCTTTCAACAATTTTTTCGGAGCCATTGTCTGTCTTTTTATTTTCCTAGTCTATCACACACGCCACACTTGACACCAATTGTTACGTTTTTCGTCGGTTCCGTGTGGATAGAAAGTCACAATTTATTTAAACACTATTTATTTAACACTAATTAACAAAAACAATTACGATAAAAAGACTTATAGAACTATTTACAAACGATTTATAACTAAGAATTTATTTTGAATTTTAGCGCGTCAACTGTATATTTATAACTGCCCACTCTAGGCCACTGCCGCCGGCTTTTTATACCTACAGCAAAAGAAATCTAGAATAGTCCATTAGGCGCATAGAGAAGGTTTTCGAATGTTCTCGTATGTACTAGTCCATTCTAGTGGGTCTCGATTCTTCTCGAACGAATGAATCATTGCGGTGTCTATGCGATGTTAAGGTCATCCGAGGGCGGGCCATATTGTGAGGTTAGGTCGAGTCCACACCGGCTCGCAACAATATAGTACAGTTTATTATACATTTTTTCCTCGCAAAACTGGATCATTTTATATGTTTTTATATTTTATTTCCTTCATTCCTTATAGGGAAAAAACATAGTGGAGCATTTCGTCTCGCCACAATGCTTGCCATGATGACAATACTTATATATTTTTAGGTGCGCGACGATTTGATTGGCTCCAATATTTTTTGATGCCAAGTCTCGTCACTTATCACTATGGCGAGCATCGCGACAAGATGAAATACTCCACTATGTTTTTACCCTCGAGTAAAAAAACGTTTTACTACATGCGAATATCTACTCATAGCTATGAAAAGGCTTCTCCAAAATAAATTATCATTAATAGTATTGCCCAAATGTTTCTAACGAAGCAATTATGAAAATAATTCGTCTAATATTGCATAATTGCTCGATGGAAATTTTCTGTGTACGAAATTATATTCTAAGCATATATTTGTTTTAAAGCAGCTGCTTGTAGTTTTTCTGTGCGAAAATAAGAAGGTTCTCGAAATATTCATACGGAAAACAACCATAAGAGGCTATTTTTATTTATACCGGCAATTATGATTCCTTTCAAAAACTGGATAATAAAAATAGTGTCAAATTTTTGGATTCTAAGTGATTTTTTATCAATATAAGGTTACTCAATATAATTTATGTTAGATTTTTTTGTGTTAAACCTCCTGTTGTTGATGTTATCAAAGCATATACCGCACGAAATTCACCACATAATCTTACACTCGATTTTACATATAAAATAACAACGATCTTCATTTCCAAGCTAACTATGACGCTGTTTTTATTTTCGATCATATATTACGTCCAAAATATTTAAAACTATTGGTGAATATTAGCTGAACTTTATAATTTTCTACAGGATACTCCCTAAAAATATTTATATTCAATTATTATTTAAAAAGGTAATTATTTCAAAATATTTAGAATTTTAACTTTTAAATAATACAATTATTCTAATTTATTTACATGTAAAAACGATAATATATATAATCTTTTATTCTGGGAATCCCCTCTGATTTATATGGGAATCTAGTAATTATAACTATAATTAAAAACATTAGTTTACATAAATGTAATTATGATATACCTCGTGATATACAGGGTCCGGCAATAGTGCGTCGGGCATCTGTGGCTCTTAGAATAAAAAACTTGAGCATTTTGTTTAAGTGCAAACCTAAAGTATGTACCAGAATGTATTTTAGGAAAATATTTTAACTTATATAGGGTGGCTCAAAAAAGTGTGAGTGGACCTTGATGATTTTTTTTAAATGGAACACCCTGTATATTATTGCATTTTTTGCTTCCTTTCAGATCACTTTACATAACCCTAAGATATGAATAAATATATTTCGATAGTTTCAGAGATATTAAAAAATAAATCAAAAATATATATTTTTCAGCCCATTCTTAAAAAAATTATTAAAAATACAAGAACTGTTCTGAAATCAAAACTATATTAAGTACTTACTTTAGATGGTCTGTACTTACTTTGTTATAAATATGAAAATCGTAAATTATACAGGATGTTCAAAATTCTACGCCAAACTTTCTAAAATAAAAAATAATTTTTCTTTGTTTTTTTAAATGGAACACCCTGTATATTATTTTTTCAATAGACGGAGAATTAAAAAATGAACATTTTTTGTATTTAGAGTATTTCAAAATTTTTAACGGTTTCGCAGATATTTGCGGATTTATATTTCATATGGCATTTTCCACAGTAAATTTTTATCAAAGCCACCCAATGATTTTTCTCTCGTATTTTACCATTGAAAGCGCCATATGAAATAATACTGCGCGTATCTGCGAAACCGTTAAAAATGTTGAAATACTCTAAATACAAAAAATGTTCATTTTTTAACTCTCCATCGAATAAAAAAATAATATACAGGGTGTTCCATTTAAAATAACAAAGAAAATTTATTTTATATTTTATAAAGTTTGGCGTAGAATATTGAACATCCTGTATGATTTACGATTACCGTATTTATAGCAAAGTAAGAACAGACTATCTAAAGTAAATACCTAATATAGTTTTGATTTCAGAACAGTTCTTGTATTTTTAATAATTTTTTTAAGAAGGGCTGAAAAATATATATTTTTTATTTATTTTTTAATATCTCTGAAACTATCGAAATATATTTATTCATATCTTAGGGTCATGTAAAGTGATCTGAAGTGAAGCCAAAAATGCAATAACATACAGGGTGTTCCATTTAAAAAAAATCATCCAGGTCCACTCACACTTTTTTGAGCCACCCTATAGAAGTTAAAATATTTTCCTGAAATACATCCTGATGCATACTTTAGGTTTGCACTTAAGCAAAATTCCCAAGTTTTTTATTCCAGGAGCTACAGATGCCCGACGCATTATTGCCGGACCCTGTACAATACATATTTATATGTATTTTAAAAATTGATAATTTTATTATTTGATTTATTTGCATACTTTAACTATTTTAAATAAAAATATTTAAGTGGGAACTTTGATACAATAATAATATTCACAAAAAAAGAAAAAAATTATAAAATAAAATAGTTTTATGTTTAATACGAGGTTTTACAAATATTGAATATTTCACTTTCTCCTTAAAATCTAAATGTAAAAAAATATTCTTGAAATTCTATACCGATTATCATACTTATATATCGTTTAATATTTCCACACAAGATGGAATTTCCAGTATACCTACAACTCATCTATATTTCAATATTTGCTGATGTAATCGTATTCTTTTGTTTAATAATATTGTCATTCATGTATACGACCATAATGTTCTCTAGACTTCGCAGGCAAGTAAATCGCCAGTTGCTTCTTGAGCATTCGCAAAACTTGCTGCGGGAATACCATCATCTTCTTGCATTGTCTCTGGTTTTTAAAAAACGGTTGCAAATCTTGTAATTCAGTTTTAAAAAATGTATTTTATGTACTCAAAACAATGGCGCTTTTTTTTAACTTTTGTTAAAATTTTTTGACCAACTCTCTAGATCCAGTAGTTTCCAAGATGCCCATCGTAGAAAACTCACCCTGTATACTAAATAACTCACATTCTTCTTGAATTTCTAGGCATATTTTTATATATGGCAAAAATGTGCAAACTTTTTCTCAAAACTAGAAATAGGCGTCTCTAAGATGCCCGCCATTACTGGAAATACCGCGTATATTTTCCATTTCACCGGAAAAGGAAAATTAACTGAAAATTTACCGAGACTAAATGAGAGAACCGAGTTTACTTTACTGCACGTTAGTGTAAGGTCGTGAATTATTCTCCTTGTGACGTCAATTCGGAAAAATTAACTGGAAAAAATACATTGCCCCGTTGCCAAGTGCCGGTGGTCGGTATGACGATTTTCGCGAGATCTTTTTTTCAATTTTGTGATCACAGCGTTGCCGGGTGTACGAAATTGGTTGGGAAAATAGAGAATTTTATATAAAAAAATAAAAAAATTGGCCAAGTGCGAGTCGGATTCCCGCACGAAGGTGTCCGTACCATTCAATATCTATACAACATTAGACACTATATTATTATAAACTTTTTTTCCGATTTAGCTGAAATTTTGAATGCGCGCATAAGTAATTTAAAAAAAAATTAAGAAACACATTACTAAAAATTGTATTTATCAATTACGATTAAAAAAAAAGTCGCCTTGACTAGGATTCGAACCTGCCTTCCTATACGGCTCCAAAGTCATAGCAGCGTAAAGTCCTAACGCTTTAACCACGCGGCCACCTAGAACTTGAAAGATTCTATGTAAAATTCTTACTTAAAAGATAATGTTTAGTGAAAGTAGATAGATACATTATCTGTGGAAATTTCAACTGTCTAGCTATAACGGTTCATAAGATAGACCTTTTTGACAGACGGACGGACAGCGAAGTAATAGGGTTCCCATTTTTACCCTTTGGGTACTGAACCCTAAAAAAGAAGAGATATTGACGGAGGCAGCAACTAACCAAACAGCTGATATTTTTTTATTTGAGACGATTTTACAAAGGTTAGTTACAAAAGTTACCATCTCCGATATCAGTCGTACCAATGACTATATAGACATGTAACGCCCATATACGGGTTGTAGCAGAATTTATGATGCTAAACGCCATTTTTTTGGTTGTAGCGAATGAGTTTTCAGCTGGTCATCAGCGACAATTTTAGAAATTTTTAATAGTTTGTGCGTAGTAAACTTTCTTTAAACACTATTCCAAAGGTGATTAGTTGTTCAGCTTTCAAGTGTAAGAGCCGCAGCGATAAGAAAGAGCCAGGAGTTACGTTTTATAACTAAATAAACAGCCCACTCCACTTTTTAGCGTTTTTTTTTATTGAATCCGATAATTATTTTTCTGATATTATATTGTTGCGATCCGGTGTGGACTCGACCTAACCTCACAATATGGCCCGCCCTCGGATGACCTTAACATCGCATAGACACCGCAATGATTCATTCGTTCGAGAAGAATCGAGACCCACTAGAATGGACTAGTACATACGAGAATATTCGAAAACCTTCTCTATGCGCCTAACGATCTATGGACTATTCTAGATTTCTTTTGCTGTAGGTATAAAAGCCGGCGGCAGTGGCCTAAAGAGGGCAGTTATAAATATACCAGTGCAGTTGACGAGCTAAAATTCAAAATAAATTCTTAGTTATAAATCGTTTGTAAATAGTTCTATAAGTCTTTTATCGTTATTGTTTTTGTTAATTAGTGTTAAATAAATAGTGTTTAAATAAATTGTGACTTTCTATCCACACGGAACCGACGAAAAACGTAACAATTGGTGTCAAGTGTAGCGTGTGTGATAGACTAGAGAAATAAAAAGACTGACGATGGCTCCGAAAAAATTATTGAAAGACCTGAAAGTGTCGGAATTAAAATGCATACTGGAAGAGAGAGAGTGCGAGACAGATGGAAAGAAAAGCATTTTGCAAGCCAGACTGAGAGACGTTTTGGTGGAGGAAGGTGAGGATTCTGAAACATTTTTGCTTTGAGTTGAAGGTGACCTTGACTCGTCCTTACAAAAATTAGAAGATAAAATTACGAAAAATTCCCGGAAATTGCAAGACAGTTTGAACGATAAAATTACAGAGAATTCTCAAAAATTAGAAGACAGTTTGAAAGATAAAATTATGGAAAATTCCCAGGATTTAATTAATATTTTAGAAGATAAGATCGCAGAAAATTCTAAAGACATACAGGCCAGCTTTAATAATAAAAAAATACTTAATTTAGAAGAAAAGATAACAGAAAATTCAAGGGAATTAGAAGAGAAGATAACAGATACACAAGACAAAATAACAGAGATTGAGGAAGATGTAAATAGAAAAATCGAAATTTTAAGAGAAGAAATAGCGAAGTCAAATTCACCAAAATGTCAAGAAACATCGGAGGGACCGAAACTAGTCGAAAATAGGTATACCTCAAAATCAGTTATGAAACCTCCGCAGTTTGACGGAAAAACCACTTGGACCAACTACTTTTGCCAATTTGAAGCCGCTCCGAGAGGAAACGGCTGGACAATCGCTGAAAAAGCTACCGCTTTGACTATCGCACTGCGGGGAGATGCGACTGATATCCTGCAGACACTGTCACCATCGGAACAGGGAGATTATCAGCAATTGGTACGACATTTAGAAATCAGGTACGGCCAAGCTCATTTGGAACATGTCTATTATTCCCAACTAAAAAATCGCATTCAAAAGTCAAATGAGTCTCTGCAGGAGTTTGAAGCCGACGTAGCCCGCCTGGTTCGCCTTGCGTATCCTGCTACGCCCGAGAATGTTATGGAGCGGTTGGCAGTACAGACATTCTCCGATGGCTTACGTGACAGGGAGACAAGGCAAGCGCTTCTTCTAGCCCACCCAACGCGCTTGGTGGATGCTTTAGCACGTGCCCTAGAATTTGAGGCCGCGAAACAGTTCTCGGTCTCTAGTGAGAGTACGGGCGGTCAACCAATGTTCCGACAAATCCGTGGAAAGCATTGTACGGAAAGTCATGGAGGAGTACATGGGCAAGAAAGGACCGACTTGTTGCTGGAATTGCGGCCAGGCAGGACACGTAAGAAGTCACTGTCAAGAAAAAGACGTGGACTCGGTTTCGCCAAGTGTCGAATCAAAGGGACACATATGGAGCAGTACCCAACAGGTTCCAACGAAAACTGTTCAAGTCGCATCGCTACAACACAAGTTCAACAGCATTTTTGTGGCTAGTTTCGTGGATGGAGAGTTACGGACCATGCTGTTGGATACGGGTGCGACCAAAACGATCATCAGGCCGGATATCCTTAAAACATCAAAAAGGATTAAAACAACACAATGGCGACTACGTACAGCTACAGGAAGCTGCGCTCTCATCCATGGAGAGGTAGATCTTAATTTTGTTATCGGAAGCACCTGTTTTAATCATCGAGTGTTAGTAGCAGACATCGAAGATGAACTTATTCTCGGAATGGACATCGTGACCACTAGAGGTTTTGAACTAAACCTCAAACAAGAAATTTTGAAAATAAATGAAGAAGAAGTGGTTCTACATCGAAAATGTGAGGAGACGCTTCGCGTGGTAGTAGCAGAAGATGTTTCGATCCCTGAGCGCTGTGAGATATTTTTGGATGGTCGCCTGGAAGGTAAAACGAATAATGGGAGTATTATTCTGTTGGAGCCAAGGAACCATGACAGCGAAATAGGACGAGGGGTCGCTGTTGGAAAACCCCTGCTACGAGCGAAGAAGTCTGTACCGGTAAGAGTAATGAACACGAATTATCATTCTGTATCCTTGAAGAAGGGAACCCTGTTAGGGTACTGTTGTTCGGCCTCCTCAGTCATTCGAAGCGTGGAAGCCTCCAAAGTTTCGATTTCAAAAATTCCGGACAAAATGGTTAAGGAGTTAGTAAACGTTAAGGGATTATTTCCCGAAGATAGTAGAAAATTGAGAAACCTGATAATCAAGTATCAAGATGTGTTTGATAAAGGAGAAGCAGGACATAGAGGTCGTACCAATTTAGTACAACATAAAATTGACACCGGAGATGCACGACCAATCAAACAAAATCCGAGTAGACTGCCGCTCGCCAAACGTGAAGAAGCTGACAAAATCCTTCGAGAAATGAAAGAAGAGGGTGTCATCGAACCATCTAACAGCCCGTGGACATCGCCGGTAGTACTAGTAAAGAAGAAAGACGGTACCACCAGGTTCTGTGTTGATTATCGGCAACTTAATAATGTTACCAAGAAGGATAGCTATCCCCTGCCGAGGATAGACGATACTCTAGACAGGCTGGCGGGATCGACTATATTCTCTACCTTAGATCTGAAGAGTGGATATTGGCAAGTCGACATGGCGCCGAAAGACAGAGAGAAGACAGCGTTCTCGGTGGGCTCCGGACTGTGGCAATTTACCGTCATGCCTTTTGGATTGTGCAACGCGCCAGCTACCTTTGAGAGACTAATGGAGTCTGTGTTAAAGGGACTATCCTGGAGTACCTGTTTAGTGTACCTGGATGACATCATAGTGGTTGGGAAACCCTTTGACGATCATCTGAAGAATTTGGAAGAAGTTTTCAAGCGACTAGGGAGCTCTGGTTTGAAACTTAGCCCCAAGAAATGTCATCTGTGTCAAGAAAAGGTACACTACTTGGGCCATGTAGTCTCCTCCTCAAGGAGTTGCGGTAGATCCACAGAAGACCAAGACAGTGGAAGAGTGGCCGATACCTAAAGATAAACATGAACTACGAAGCTTTTTGGGACTATGCACATACTATCGACGCTATGTACAGGGTTTCGCCACCATCGCAAAACCAATGACCAGACTTACCGAAGGCGAGAGGCGTTTCTCTTGGAACTCAGATTCTGACGAAGCATTCC